TATTCGTAAGAAGAAAAAACTTAAAATAAGCTTATTGTAGATTTTTGTCGTAATGCTATTTCTATCATATACTGTATATGTCGAAATATCTGCTTACTCATTTAATTAAAGTTAGCTATCTAATTAGTTATTCCATTAAAATGTAGTTAGCGAATATCTCTCTAATCTGATGATGGAAAAGTCGAAGAAATTCGGAATAGAATCAACGCATTAAACTATATGTAAGGTAAAATTTTCAGAAAGACCACGTTCTGGGAAATTGCTGTTCAATAACCGATTTTTAGAAATATATTTGTTTCTCAGAATGAAAATTTTTATTTTCCTATCATTTCGTACTCTTCAAAAAGGACTTGAACCATGTTGCATTGGCTTTTGGATTTCTCATTCACTTTCAAGAAGATTTTTGATTTCTATATTTGTATTCATTCACATCGCTAACAACAAATAAACTCAATATTTTAAAAAAAATCTAAGCATGTTCAAGAAAAAAATTTGTGTACAGATTTTGTAGCCTGAAGTGTTTTCTACACAAACACACTATTTAGTTCTCACAAATACTGTTTCGACTTCCAGGAATTGTGTCGGTAAACATTCCGACTAAAAATATTTATCCTTTTTTTTGAATTAAATCACTAACACTAATTTTTCAATAATAAGTGGGCGTAACCCAGATCTATAGGACCGACTTTTACAGAGTATATAGAATAACTCAATGTCTATCGATTACATTAAAATAAGCCAAAAGAAATGCCCAAGGTCAGAAATATAAGTATTTTTATTTTATAAAGTCATGTTTTAAACAAATGACATTGATAATATGTATTTCAAGAGTCGATTAAAATTTTCTTGATTGCTTTCTGAAAAATTTTTTCAACAATATCAACCATTCGTCAATTTATCTATTAAATAATATGATAATGAAGAAAAATTTGACATGAATCTATTTAGATTGTTTGTTATTTCATCTAGAGCCATTGTTTTTATTAAGATGCATTATTACTTGCATTATCGATAGAATGTATTATTCATAAATTTGAGATTAAATTCTATAAATAACTTCTCACGAATAGAGATAATGCGGAAGAATATCTTTAGGCGGTAATAATACATATTTGCTTAGTAAATCGAATATATACTGAATTTTTTTTTTATTTTTAGTAAACTTAAATGAATGTCAGAGTGTATCAAGAATTCAAAAATTTCATTTTAAATGAATATTGAGCAAAATTAAATCAGAACAACTAGAATCTAGCCAGAAACGTTTTCTTTTATATATCAGATCGTCTTTTCTATACGAGTACACATGATTAAATGAATTTGTAATTATGCATGACTATACGTTATTTATCAAAGCTTTTTTTAGCTTGTTTTTAATTTTGTTAGATTTTTTTTTAAGTATAAAAACTAAAGACAAATAACTTACCATGGCTGTTTTTGAATTTCCACCTAATGAATCTTGTAAAAGACGAGTTAATTTTGAATTTCGATATGGTATATGTGTTGATTTTCCATCAACTAATGCTGATATAACGTTGCCTAATGTTGATAATGATAAATTAATTTTTGTTGCTTCTTTTAATGTGCTTCCTTCAGCACCCGATTTTGATTGACGTTCACTGCCCTAAAAAAAATGATTATCATAGTTAAATTCATATAAATATTCATTGATTTAAACAAAAAAACACGTTTTTTTTTACATACCGCTAAATCAACCATATGTAATTTACCAACTCGAATACGTTTTCCACCATCAGGACCTGTATCACTACATTCAATTGTAATGGTAAATATAGCATGAGATCGACTACTACGTTCATTCATAAGAGTTTGACCCGTATGACCTAATATATAACAGTATTTTATAATAAATCAAATTCCAAACAGAACAAATCTTACGATTATAACTGCCAGCACGCATTAATACTTCTATTTCTGTTGCAGAATGACATGCATGAGCTGATAAACCATCAGCATAAACGCCAACATTTGGTCGTTCTTTAATCTAAATTGTTTAAATAGAAACTTTTTATTGTTTGTCTTTTGGTTTTAAATCGAGTTATTTACGTCTAAATTTTTATCACGATCTTTACCAAGTAAATCACGAATTTCTTCATTATAAATTTCGAGATATGAGACATTAACCAAATATCTAATAAAATATATTACAATAATATTCTTTTTTTTTTGTTTCACTTTACCCAACATCTTTAGAAGCTTTTGAAATTTCAAGAAAAACATGTGCAAATGAATTTGGAATGATACCATAACTTTTATTATCATCTTTTTTTCCTTCCATTGTAAATGTTTTGCCTAATTAAGAATAAAAAAACAAAGATTTATGCTCAATATAAATTTGTGTAGCAATAAAAGATGATGGATACTAACCAGTGCCTGTTTGTCCATAGGCAAATATTGTTCCATTATAACCTTCAAGTACAGCATCAACAATTGGACGAGCAACCAAATTATAAATATCAACTTGTTTTGAGTTTGGTCCAAATACATAATCAAATGTAAATGTTTTACTTGTATCATCACTTCCGTTATGTAGTGTTCGAACATCGATAGTACCTGTTGATTCATTTACCTGCATAAAATAAATCATATTTATCATTTTATTTATATGTAAAGAGTATTTTTAGTTATTTTATACAGGCATGCACGAATGCATGTAAAACATCATGTTAAAGATGATCTATTTTCTGTATAGATAACATTTGTTCTTGTTGATTCTCCGTGCCAACTTTTTTTTGTTGTATTCAAAGCTATGGTTGGACTTTACGAACTACTAAATAAAAGCTCCGGCATTGATCGAGTTTTACATTTTTAAAGTTCATTCCAACTACTTACTAGAAGAGATCCATATTGTTTTATGCCATGAAATCTAACAACAGTTTCTGATAGAACATTCAAAATTGGTTACAACTGTTATAAGGCATTGTCTAAAATTTGATAGATTTCAATAATGGTAATCAGTGATGAGAAAGGTTCATGTTTTTTTTTTGAACCACACCGAAGCTGTTCCTACTGAAATATGCTACTTTTGATATAAATACACCAATTCTTGGAGTTCCTAGTTGAGTGTTAATCTATTTCCAGCGTTGAAAACTATCAAATTTCTAACCAATGCTTCATAGTAGTTGTGATTAGTTTTGAATTTTCTATTAGAAACTACTGTTACATTTCATCGAATACAAAATATGGATCTCTCAAATGGTTAGAATTAGAGTTTTGCAACCAGACACACAAACGGGTTCGAATTCAACATTGTCGAGACGAATCGAGCTCGGATTTTTATGTAAAAATGTATCGAGTGTCTATCAGGTTTCATTTTCTCATAATATATGCTCCTATTGTCTATGTTTTCCTATGTTACATACGAAGAATACGGAAATAGAACTTTTTTGACTTGTTTTCGCGATAATACATGAATACACACAAGAGTTCTTTGTATCTAAACAATAAATATTTATTTTTCATATCTTAATACTGTTGTTGTTCGCAAATGAGCTCAAAAGAAAGCATTTGAAGAGCTATTGAAACTGGAGGAAATACAATGTTGAAGAAATCTCAATTTGATGCTACTTGATGGAACAGTTTTAATTTTATTAAATACACTAATGATAATATCATTAGTTATGTACAACATGTACGATGTAAGAAGTTACTTCTCTGTGAACCAAAAAAATATTGGTTCAAGCATGCTTAAAAATCATATATCTTCATTTAAAGTTGCAACTAGGTTTCTGATTTATGCCATTGAAAATATTCAATCAATTGCGCTTAGAAATAGTCAAGTAACAATAATTCTCGGGTCGGATCGGGTGCGGTTTCGAAAAATTGAGTCCGCGCAAGGCTTTGTTTGAAGTTGACTCTAAAAATCTAAATTTTGATCAATGTCGAAACCTTTATTTGGGATTTCATAAATTCTAAGGACAGCATTATATAGAGCAAAAAAGGCCGATACAGAAATTCAATAGAGACTTACATTGTTGATACAGAAAAAGGTCATTTTTGACATGATGTGCTACAGGAATTGATATATGTCTAATCATTTTTTCATTGACATTTTAGAAAATATCACCGAATGAATAAGAGAAAAGGCAGATTTAGGATTAAAATTTACGTATATTATTTACATAAACAATTTCTTTGTGATCATTATCCAATTCTTTATCACTCATCGGTCGACATCGAACAACCACTTTAACATTATTTGCATTACCACTATTTGCCGATCGTTTTTTTTCCTAATAAAAATCAAAATAACTTTAATTCCATAAGGAAAAAACAACAAAACATCGTATTAATTACAAACCGGCATAATTATTATTTTTTTTCAATCTAAAACCATAAATCGGTTTTTATTTTTTAGTATAATCAATTAAAATACCAAGATTTTCTTTTTTATTTAAATGTTGAATAGACAAACGGTACAGCAGAGAAAAAAAAGAGAAATCTGTTTTCTTATTTGTTAAGTTTTCAAGAACAACAACCAAAAAAACGAAAGAAAAAGAAAAGATCATAACAAAAAGAAAAAAAAAAAGATTTCTGTATGTATATGTTTTCCAATTTACGTAGATATCAGCTCTACATGAAATCAAATAAATGAGGATAAACAAAAAGACTAACTCGACAATATAACAACAACATCAACCAAACGAAAAAGAAAAAAAGAAAAAGCTGCTTTAGAATACTTTACATAGAAAAAGAGAATAAGAAATTTAATATATAGAAATATTTACAAACAAACACGCGTCATCGTGTGCTTGGATATAGTTGTCATGTACACAACAAAAGTAAAAATGACGTATACATAGAAGAAACAAAAAAGAAAAAGAAACACGGATGATTCAAATTTGTTTTTATTTTTTATTACTGTTTCGATGCTAGATTTAATCAAGAACAAGAACAACAACAACAACAGCAAAAGACGGCGACCGGTTAATTGAGCAATACTTTTATGAAAGCGAAAGAAGCAAAAACAAAAAAAAAATTATTCATGTCGAAGATTCATTTTTTTCACTAGAACTATTAGTTGTTTTCTTAGTTGTGTCAGTATTAGAATTTTCTTCAGTATTTTGTTCAGATGTATCTGAATTATGAATTATTTCTTCTGTTGATGATATTGGTGGTGATGTTTGTGTTGATATAACAGGTGATATCATTGTTGGTGAATTGCGTTGATGTTGTTGTTGTTCAAATTCATATTCACTAAGTAAACGTTTTTTAAGCGGATGCGCACTATTCGACGATACAGATGTTGCTGGTGATACGGATGATGATATTGGAGATGCGGCAATTGGTGGAGTATTTGTTCGTAATGAATTTATATTTGAACTTTTATGACTCGAGGATGGATCAACATTTATTGATAGTGTTGTTTCATATTGAGTATCAGCTGGAGATGATAGTGTCTAATTTAAACATCGATAAAGATTTTATTCAAGATATATTAGAGAATTAATTTAATTTCAAGTTTATAATAAAATTTTTCTTGGAATAAAATCGAATCATTATTTATAAGATGATGTTTGTGAAAAAAAATGTATATATAATTGAGTTAATTAAAGAATATGAATGTAGTTTTACCACTTAAAAGATAAAATCTCTGAAGATTAATTAGGAAATCTTGGCAAATCATAAATTACTTTTGAAATAAGTCTTAACTTAGTAGATAGGCTTTATTTTGACTAAACAAACCTGAAAAAAGATTTTTCTTCTTGAATGTTGCCTTTTTTCATGAATATTCCAAGAAAATGCTTTTATCTGCTGCTGACAGAGTTATCAACATTTTTTAGGAGTGAACGAGGCTAAAAGTTTCGCAGAAAGTCCTTTCATTCTCAAAGTGCGAGAAGTAGTGATTGATGAAGAAAAGAATGAAATCACTGTAATTCGAACTCTGCTACCAGGTCGTTCCTTCTAACCTTGCAATGATATTGTCGGCTTATTTCTATTTCGTTTTCTACCCGAGACAGACAAACAATGTTTCGAATTTTGGTTTTTGTCCTAAGCTACCACGAAGCTTTAAAGTATTGGCAGAAAGAATGCTTGACTTTCTATGGGAATCGGATAGGTTGAAGAAGTCCCCTCCCTCTAATTAAAAACCCTGGTCTTAGATCACCTTTTGATTTTAAATTTGTCACAAATAAAATTCTCAAGCAATCTCATTCATTGTAAATGCATCAGACTTTCTATTACTAAACTTTGCAAATCGTTATTTAAGAATGGCTGATACTAAACAATCTACAAATTTCAAAATAAATTAGTCCTAGTGCAAACTTTGTTTGTGCAAATTTGGCATACATCTGAGTCGTTTTTGAGGTTGACCTAAAACGGATCAGGATATTTCGTTGAAAAACTCATAATAATAGTCACAAAACAAACAGAAAGATGCATAGAAATGAATCCTTTTAGACTTTCGTTTATCTCAATAGAACTTATGTAATGAGTAAAGACTGATGTGAAAAGTGATTTATCAGTGGATAAGATTTCCTCATAAGTCATTAGGATATTTGTTATTGAATGATTCTTTATTTCGAATGAAATTTCACCTGCTGTGCTCTACGAGCAAATTTTCCTTTTGGTGAATGATCAAGTGGTGATGTCGATGATTGTCTTGATGGTGAAAATTGTTGTTCATCTAAATATGAGAAGAAAAACAAAATTGGACATGAAATAACTTGTTTTATTTTACTTTTATTCATACAAGTATAACGTGGATTAACAAGGTGATTATTTGCTGTTGCTGGATATTGTTGTTGATCATTAGTTGAACGTGTTGGTGGTGATATTGGACTACCTTGTGTTATGGAACCCGCATTAGTAGTTGTTGGGCGCGTTGAACGTGATGCTAATGATTGTTGGTATTGTTGTTGAACATAAGATTGCCAATTACGCTCAATATTTGATGATGATGATGATGGTGATGAACTCATTTGATGATGAGAATTTTTTGAGTGCGATTGTAAAATAAATGGATCACGTACATTAGTTGATGTTTCTTGTGTTTGATTAAATGATGATTGACATTGTTCATTATTTGATATTGATTCATCTTTCGGTGATGTTCTATATAGGAAAAGAAATTCTTAGTTTTTGTTATATATATATATTTTTTTTTTTTGATTAGTCAATTTACCGCATTCGTTTAGATATTGGTTGCTGTTGCTGTTGTTGTTGTTGTTGTTGTTGATTTGATTGCATTCGTTGTTGTGTTGTTGGTGATAAACGATTCGATGGATTACGGCTTTGAAATATCATCGATGATTCTGTTCATAATAAATAGAATATTTTAAAAAAACTATGTCTTACTAATCTTACCATCACTTTTTGGTAATGTTGGACATGCTCGAACAAGTTCACCACGTATTAAATATTCTAATGATTGACTTTTATCATGTGGTGATGCTGCTCGTTTATTCGATTGTTCATTTGTAAATTCTATTTAAATAAAAATTATAATTACAAAAACAAAAAGCAAAACACTGATTAGTACCATTAGCTGTCATTGGTTGAGCTTTTCCATCAGCATAAATTCCATTGGCACCCATTAACATTCGCATTGTAATCGAACCTCGTGATCGTGTAGCTAAAATTAATGAAAATGAAAATATTTCATATATTTTCTTTTGATTTTGATCATACATTCGCGTGCACCGGTACTATTTGTTCGTTCTAATACATTTAAATCATTACTTGAATGAACTTTGGATGCACTAACAGCACTATTTTGTACTTTTTGATTTAATTCTAATAAAATATTTTAGAATGTATTTGATGAATTATATTGAAAAATAGTTTTGTTTCTTACCAACATATTCTTGTTTTTCTAAGGGTTGATTGGAAAGAATTTTTTTAATTGAACTATCACGACGTCGTTCAGGCATTTCGTTTTCCATAGTTGATTTATTTACTATAGAAAAAAAAAGCTAAATTAATAAGAAAAAAATTTGTTACGGATTTATTTTTACTATCTTGATTTGAACGAATTTTAGAATTTCCATCTGTTATTGTTTCAGGTTGTTCACGCTAATTTAAAAAAAGGCAACACAAATATTTTAGGTAATTAAAAGCAAAACAAAAACAGATCTTTTTTTCTAAAACATACAATGGAATTTGAATCGTCGTCACCGTCAAGTAAAATTGGTTGATCAGAATTCTAAAACAGAAAAAAAGCAAAATTTGTATTCTATAATAAAAAGAAAAATTATTTTTATTCGTTTACATCGACAGGTTTTGTTCCGACTATTGTTGTTGGTTGATATATACGTGATAATTGATTAGTAGAATTTTCTGATACAGATAAGTCACTATTTAGAGTTTTATTATCGTTATCTAAATAAATAAAAATATTGTTTACTCAAAAAATATTTTTATCGAAAACTTTATTAATGATAAAATGTGCCTTTGGTAAAGATATTCTGAAGTTTTCTTCGTACTCTGTACCCTCTTTGAGTAAAATTTTTAAACCTTTACGCTTCTCTATCCTACAAAATGTTTACCAAGATTCTATCATACCATGCAGAGCAGACTAACTCTATACACCTCTTATCTGTTGAAAATAATCTTGTTAAGAATAAAAAGCTATTAGGACAATTATTATAAGATTAAAAGGTGAAACATGACATGACCGTTATTAATAATAGAAAGATGCCTTTAATAAATCAGCTTAAGTCAACATTTGATATTTTCTTCGATTTCATTACAAGAAACTATTTAAATATCATTTTTAGAGCTTTTTAGCTTGCTTATTAATTTATGAGTTTCTCTTTAAAATAAATTAGAAAAGCAATACAATAGAGTTCATTTACAAGTGTATGTCTTTTATAATCTGTAGAAAGCTCGCAAAACTTCATTTAATATTTCTGTCCTTGTTTAACTTCGTTTTTCTTTTCAAATAAGCGATGAATATAAAATTACTAAAAAAAAGACATTCATTGCTTTCAAGTTCATGTATTCATCGCATAGTAGAAAAGCATTGATATGTAAAAATGATGAATAGATGTCCACAAGGCATTTTTTGTCATCTAGCTGTGATAAAGTGTTTCTTTTCACAACATTGTAATATATGAATTAAGTTTTACCTGTTAGCTTATTACATATTTAATGACAGTTTTTATGAAGTTAAGTGCAAACTTTTTATTATTTTCAATTATAAACTTCATAAACTAAACAGGAATTTTATAAAAACAAAAAAGCAACAAAATGTTTTTTTTTATGACCTTGCAATAAGGACAATATTATCATTATTATTATGTGTTTTGTGTCAAAGAAAAAAAAAGAAAAAGAATAACTAAATGAACAAATGAATATATTAAAAGAAACATATATATATATAGAATTATATTTCATAGAAATTCAACATATTTATTACGGTTTCTCAAATATCATATATATTAAAAAAAATAATTCAAGCTTGTCTATCTTAAAAAATCTAATCTCAATATACAATGTGTCATACGATATTGTTAACTGATCTTATTTAAAGAATAATTTTCTTTTTTTGTTTCTTACTTGTTAATGCAACAAATTCATTAACATTTTGTTTCATAAATTCTTGAATTGATATTGGTTCTTTAGGATTTCGAATTGATTCGTTATGATGTGATGAACGTTGTTGAATATAATGTGATTGTTGTTTAGGTGATATTGTACTCACTGAAGATGGATGAAGATTATGAAACATATAAGGTGATGCATGATGTGGAGATATTTGAGATGTTGGAACTAATGTTGATCGATTTGTTGAAGTAGATGTATGATGAGAATGTGGTTGTTGAGACGGATGACTTGGATGTGGTTTATGCACATTAGTCGGTTGTCTTATATAGGATGATGGATTACCATCTGTTGAATGATCAGAAAAATGTAAATTAGTATTTAATTTTTCATGTGATGATGATTTCTAAAGTAGATATTTTTTCTAGAAAAAAAAAGATAATTAACATTTTTTTTCTAACGTACATGATGAATATGTGATTCGGTTCGTGGAAAATGAATTGATGAACTTTCAACAGTTGTACGTGGTTGATTAATACGATGATGAAAATCTTCCGGAGATCTAAAATTTACAGAAATCAATTGTGTCTTTTTTCTTTCATTTACATTGCATTCAAAGAAGAAAGTACGTTAAAAAGACAAAAGTAAAGTGGATCCCGCAGTTCAGGTAAAAAAAAACATAGGAAAGGTTATCATGACCCAGTTTGTGTGCCTTTTTTACGTATCGAGTGTTAGATGATTCTTTACAAATGCGACATAGTTGTCGAACGCATCACATATATTTGCGATGCAACTACAGAACGAGAAAAAAAAGAGAAAAGAAGTAGTTCGATTATCTCTGCTTCTTCTTCTTCTTATTTTTTTGCTTTTTCTTCTCATTCTCTTTTTATCCCGATGAAAATTAAAAAAAAATAGCCTTGATTCTTTTTTGTTTCTTTTCTATTTCTGTTGAGTAGTTTTTTATTAAAACTAGTGCAAGTTTTGTTTTTTCTGTGCCCTTACCGCGTATCTCGATCTGTAGCAGAAGTAATACGTGTTGAAGATCGAGATAAATCATTTAATTTTGAATATGGATTTTCATTTGTACCAGAATTTGGTTTTAATTGTGAATGAATCTTTTGCTGCTGCTGTTGTTGTTGTTGTTGTTGCTGTTGAGTATTATTTATATTTTGTGTACGCCATATAGGCGTTGCATAATCACCTGTTGGATATCGCATATGTTCTAAAAAGATTTAAATTAAAAAAATAAAATAAAACTTGTTTTGTTTTTCTTACCAATATTTTCATATGAATGTCGTTTAGCTGATTGAGTTGAGTATATTGAAGGATCAGGTGGTGAATGTGCTGATGCTTGAGAAAGATGACGAGTAGTACGTAAATTTTTTAATTGTTCATTATTTGCAGCTGTCGTCAAATCATGCATAAGACGTGGATCAATATAGAATGAAGCACCGGGTAATGAACTATAATAATGTGGATAAGGTAGAAGACCACTAGCAAGTAATTCTTGTGGGTGTACACCAGATGAAGCAAGTATATGGGATGCTGCTAGAAGTGCAGCTTGTTGTTGTTGTGAATGTGATGATGATTGAATAGAAGGATTCGATGTTGGAGGAACAATTGCTGTTGGTGGCGGCAGTAATTGTTGATTATTTGATGATGATGCTTGAGACGGAGAACGTTGTTCAGACGGATGACGAGATTGACTAAAATTAAAAGAAAATATGTGTGATATTTGATAGAATATGAAAACATCCACATGAAAAATTTTATAAGATGTCTATTGCTATGTTAATGTCATAATGACCTTATTTTTTCTTCAAAGTCTTCGGAGGTAGATTGTTATGTCTTGCTTAAAATTTTATTCACTCCTATTTTTAAAATCTTGAAAAAAGAAGGAATATGTTGACAAAGGTAGCTTGACATCGTAATTTCTGTCTTTTTCAGGTATGTTTTGATCATGTTAAAAGACGAAAAAAAACTTCATTTACATCATAATATATTTCGATCAATATTTAAACGCTATTTAAGATTATTCTCTCTTATTTTTTTTTCTAAAAATTCGTATTCTAACAGTGTATATAAGCTAAATTAGCTGATAAAGGTCATGGTGATCCTCAATTAGACATTGATTTTTTTTTATCAAGGATTACCTTATTTTTTGACGATAAGTGCATGTCACAATGTTGGATGTTTTAGGTCACACTTAGTTGAATTTAATTGATTAACTAGTTCATTATTTAACAACTATCTAGTCAATAACACTCGAACGTTAGAAGGGAAAAGTTCAACTTTCAGGATAGAGTTTATGTCACAAATTACATCTATCATAACATATTTAGCGAGATTAGGCTGGAAAAAGAAATGTCTCTACAAAAAGTAGTTTTCCAGACATTTGCTCATGCCTGAGGACGAGTCTTTTTTGTTTTGATATAATTTCGACATTTTCAAGAAGAACTTCTATCATTCAGAGCTCATTTTTGTATTTCTTGTTCAGTGACACAAGAAAATTGCCACTGTATATTTGTACTCACTCAAATATTTAACAAGAAATAAACAATGTTTCTTTTTTTAAAATCTACGCATATTTAGAAGGAAAGACTTTGCATGTAAATTCTTAAATCTAAAAAGTATTTTACAAAATGCACCATTTTATTTTTAAAAATAACGCATGGATTCGTAGTATTTAAAAATAGAAACACATACAGTGCATATGTTTTTTCTTATTTGTATTACATCGTTAATGGAAATTTTTTTCAAAAGTAACCCGAGGAAATAAAATTCTATAAGGTTGATTTTTCTTAGAATATTTTGATATATATTTGATATATAAAATTTCTCTTAATAAAAGTTCAAAGCCAAGAGATATAAGCTTTTTTTATTGTTATGCGAAATCATGTCGTTAAACAAACAAACCATGTCGCCAGATAAGATCATAAATCTGTTGTCTCTCAATGGCAATGTCAAGAGGTTACAAAGGCGAAGGACGATATTCTATACAGTTCTGTATATTTATTTATTTGTTTTGCTAAATGACAAAAAAAGTTTTCGACAACTGAAATAGTCTTAGGAAATTTACCATTTTTGGGATAATAACTATCGACACCATAACTTTCTCTTTTGTAAACTTAATATGAAAACTAATTATGAAGATTGATGTAGGTTTTCATGTTTTACAAACGAGCATTGACTATATTTATCGATTCGTCTATAGAGGGTTAGAAAAGTAAAATATTTTATCTTTCTAATCCTCTACACACGAATCAATAAACATAGTCAATATTATTTTGTAGAACATGAAAACTCATGTTACTGTTCATAATTAGTTTTCATATTAAGTTCACAAAAGAAAAAGTTGTACTTTTCATAATTATGATTCAAATCTCTTGAAATTGTAACTTATGAAGGTGGCAAATTTACAATCTTATTCGACAATATCCTTTCACATATCTTACCGTTCGTGATTTGGTGAATGTCCTGTTGTAAGATATCTTGATGTAACAAAATCAGCTCGTAATGTTTCATATGTATCTGTATTTGATGTATCAATTCCAATCGGTTTATTTGTATTTGTTGATGTTTGTTGTTGATTATTAATCGAAGATGATTTATGTTGTTGTAAATATTGTGTTGGATTTGATGGTGTTGAAAAATTACTATGTGCTGCTTGTTGATGAGGATAATGACGCATATAATTAGTTTGCTGTTGTTGTTGTTGTTGTTGTTGTAAATACAAATGTTGTTGTTGTTGATCTATAATTTTTGAAGATTTAATATGTGATGAGTCGATATATGTTGATGGATGATGAGAATATTCATTTCTTGGACTAGAATAATTTTGTGAATGAATATGTGGATGTGTAGTTGATGTATCAATAGAAATTGATTTATTTGATGGTGATATTGGTGTTCCACGCATAATTGAACCTTTATTTGAAAATGTTTGTTGATTATGAGATGAATAAGAATGTATTGATGGTGAATGTGATTTTGTTAATGTAACAAGTGGTGGCGGTGGTGGTTGTTGTGGTTGTTGTGATGGTTGAGTAGAATTATTTGAATTAATTGTTGTTAATGGTAATGTTGATTGAATTTTATTTGATGATATATTTGTATTTGATAAACGTTTATCTGTTTCGCTTAATGTTTTTGAAATTTCTTTTTCTATAAGAGAATTTATTGTTGTTAAACCAGATGATGTTGAAATTTTATCATTTTTTTCTTCAATAATTGATGTTTGTTCATCAACTTCATCAATAACCATACCATGTATTGAATCATTACTATCATCATTAATATTTGTTTTTTGTGCATCATCATCATTATCTAATAATAAAAATAAAATTTATATATAGATATATTTTTTTTAAAATTTTACCTTCATAATTTTGTTCATTTTCTTGTGATTTTATTGGAATAATTAATCGACGAGATGTATCTTCTGAACCTGATATACTTGCATTATCTTCTTCAATATTCTATTTAAAAAGAAAATTCAATTCAATTTATTTTATTTTTATCTAAGTTTTTAATTTACATGTTCATCATCAGCTTGACCATTTTTTTTACGAAATTTTTGATAGAATACTCGACAACTTTGTTCACTACGATGAACATATTCGGCTATTTGTGTCCAATCATCTCGAAATTTATGAAATGCTTCTGTAAATGCATCAATCTCATGTTCAGTCCATTCTTATTTAATTAAAATAAAATCATAAAGAATCAATAAAAAAATTAATTTCTTTTTTTTTTTTGTAACTTACCATCATCATGTTTAGAATTTTGTTCATCTGTTATAGTTGATTGCATTTTTGATGATTCATCATCATCATCTTCTTCTTCAATAGGTTGTGTTGTTTGTCTTTGACGTACTTGAATAATTAGTTTGTCATAACAACGTGTACAACATCGTTGAACATTTTGAGGAATTTCTTTAGAAAAAGAGAAACTTTTTAATATCAAAAAAAAAAAAATTGTTTTTTTTTTCTATTAATTACGTAATGAACGACGAATTGCTTCTTGATTTTCTGGTGTTAATTCATTCCATTTAGTTGGAAATGCACGTAGACGATTTTTACGATTTTTCTTTTTACCTAATTTTTCAGTTGTACAAGATAATAATTGACATCGACTACATATAAATATAATGTTTTGAAATGAAAAGAAAATGAGATTAACAAACTTTTTATTCGCACGTTTTTCTTCATTTCCATCACCGGGATCTGAGAAAAAAAAACCAGAAAATTCCATGTTAATGTTTGATTAATTAACTGTTACTCACTTATTTCACGTCGCTCTTCATCACTAGAAATAAAAAAAAACAATATAGAGAAAATTATTCTTTGAATAATTTGCGAGATACAATCTGTAATTAACAAACAAACCGCTGGATATGACTCAGTTTTTTTTTCATGACTACATCTGTATCAAAATAATGAGTTCAAAGAATCTCAGTTAGTCGTCAAAAGACAGGCATCGTTGTAAGAAGTATACGTCGAGTACGAAATATTCATTTTATGTTGAAAGGTTCAAAATAGTCGAATTCAAATGAGATTTATGTTTTAGTCAAATTTCGTTTGAAACTTATTGAACTCAAATTTGTTTTTTTTTTGTCAAAAGAATCTTATGACAAAGGAAAAGAAAAAGTAACTGATCATAATAATTGAAACTGACAAATGATATGTCATGACCTTCAGTTATTCCATGAATGTTTTTTTTTCAGTATCACCGAATTATAGTAGAAATATAAACTTCCAATAGAATGAATATTACATCGGGTAATTTCTTCATCAGATATTTTGATATGATGCTACTGTTCATAGAAATAAATTCTTTTTTTTTATCGAATATATTTATTCATTTTGTTGTAATAAAAAGTTGAGTAAATAAATCGTTATCTTCATTCTGAAAATCTTTTTTTTTCATTTTATTTCTTCTCGTTAAATATCATTCATCATATTCTATTTGATTACATAATATCAGTCACAAAATCTTGATAAGTCATATCACGATAATGACAGAATGAATAAACTCTTCTAAAAAATAATGTAGAAATATCTTTTCTTTCCTGCGACGTTTAATCAATGTTCTAAACACAACCTTCTAGTTATGCTAAACTCAAAATATTGATGATAGAGCTTACATATAATCTGGGTACATAGCAGGTAATAAAAACTTCTATAAAATTATTCAGCATCTGCTATCTTATCTTTTCGATAAAAACAAATATGGATTTTTATCTTTCTTAGTTATCATATTTATAAATACTAAACAAATATGTTTTATTTCTATTCAAACTTTGAACTTAATATTAACTTACTTTTCCAATCGATCTGTTGAACGATCACCATCCTAAAATATTAAGATACATAGAATTTTTTTTTTTTTATTTTTTTTAATTAAACTAACTTGTCCTCCTGTAGCTGTTGTTTGTGAAAGAACTTGTTGTGATGTTGATGAAAGAATACTATTCGATGAAGTAACTTTTGTAACTAAAGTTGTTTCAATAGTTGTTGATGATGTAACTGTCGTTGTTGTTGCTGCTGCTGCTGCTGCATTTTGTTTAGCTTTTCTTCGATTAGCTTGTGTTTGTTTTCGTAATAAATTTTTATAATTTTCTGTTTTTTTAGTCATATAATAAAATTGTACACATTGTTCTGTTGTTTTATTTTCTAAAAATGATGATATATAACCAAAATTTTTAGGTGATTGTGTAAATTTTTCAATAAAAATTTGTTTTTCTTCTGTTGACCAATAGGGCATTTTAGTAAGTTCTTTATAAAATTCAGCTGCATCACGTTTTATTAAACTATTTTCATTAAAATATTTATATTTTCGTTGCCATTTATCATAGATAATTGGTGGTATAATAGATGATTTACGCATTTTTTCTTCGTCATTTTCAATATCTTGTTCAATTGTATTTGTATTTAATGTTATTTGTTGTTCTGATATATTTGAATCATTTAAATTTGATTGTTTTTTTTCTTTATCTTCACGTGTTTTACGTAATTCTGGAAATGTTTTTTCAAATGTTTCACGATATATTGTTAAATCCTTATTTAAAATAAATTTTTCATCATTTTCAATTAATTTTTGCCATTCTTGATAAACTTTATCATATTGATCACTGTTTATTTTTATTCGATTTTTATATATTTCAGTTTTCTTTTTAAAAAAATCTTTTAACCGATTTTTCATTATATTTACATATCTATATAAAAATTGAAAAAAAATTATATTTTAAATAAGAAAAAAATATTAAACTACATACTCTATTCGAATTTTTCGTATTGATTCAAGATCATTTGGTTCTTGATAAAGTGGTATTGTTAAATCTAGATTATTATTTAAATGATTTAACATTTTTTGACTATCTTCAGCTTTTTTCTAAATAAAATATTAAATCATTTAGTTTTTATATTTAATATGATCAAATATGAAAATAGGTTATATTTAACTTCATAAGGAAAGTTCCAAAACTAATTAGTTATTTTCAATTCAAAATGATATTTAGTATATAGATACTAATAAAATTATGAATTATCTGAATGTAGAAATTCTAATTTTCATTTTTGACTTAGCATAGAAAGAGATCTTAACGAGAATAATTCATTGTGAAAGTTTGAGACATTTTCATTGTTTCTGTTGAAAGATATGTTTATGGTAAAAAAAAAACATATCTCGTATATTGTTTATACATATCGACATATTCTTATTTCAAAATAAGAGAAATTGAAAAGATTTGAAACTTTTGTCATAAACTACTCTTATTAAGACTTTTCTGTTGAAAATATTCACTGTTTATGATGATCTATATGTTTCATATTGTCTTGGGTCAAGAGCAATCAATCAGTTAGGAACAATTCTCTCGTTAATATGATGTAAACAAAGTTTAAGACTTACTCTATTATCATGAAGAATTTTTTCAATAAGTGTTTGTGAACCATTTGTTTTAAGTAAATCATCTTGATCATCATTATCTTCTTCATCTGCAGCTGATCTATCAGCTTGACTTCTAATTTCACTCTATTTAGAAAGACAAAAAAAAATAATCAATAAATTGATTATATTTTTTTATTATTATAAAATCTTACTTGACTAAGTTTAGCACGATCAAGTTTTTTCATAGTTATATCAATTTCAGATTCAAGTTTCGATATTGCATTACGTATAATGGTTGAATCTCTCATATTTGAATCATTTTTCGGATCATCTGGTGTTGGTGATATAGCTTCAGTTTGCGGTTGATATACTTGTTGTTCCTATAAGATTAGACAAAAAAAACCCAAATACAAAAAACGAATACATTTATTAACAAATTTCAAAACCTTTTTAACATCAATTGATAATGGTAATAATTGTGAGTTAATGGATAGATTACCACCTGTTGGATAACGTGATCGTTTTGAATGTTCATCGACATGTGGCCCCATTGATATAGGTGCTAGTGAAGGATAATACGAAGGTATTGCAGCTCTATTGGGAAAAAAATATATTCTTTAGTGATAATAAGAAATTCATTTGTATTGGAATAAGAACAAACCTTTCGGGACTACCAAAATGATTATGATAACCAGCAAGTAATGATGGACGTCGATTTAAAGCCATAGCTGTTTCAACAGTAGAATTACCAGCATAACGAGTATCACGCTAAAAAACAAACAGATATTAGTTTTCTTTCTGTTCTGTTTTTTTTTTGAAAAATATTCGTATCAGCACACCTGTTGATAACTGGTTGGATAGGTAAATTGAGCCGAGGACATAAATGGGGATTGTCGAGCCATAATTTTCTTTCTATTCTATCGTTTAATTTATCATTATTATATAAATATAAATGATTATTTTCAATATCTTATTAATGAAAAGTTAATATAAAGAAATTAAAATAATGAAATGCCATAATAACAATAAACAAATCTTGAAAATCACATTATCTTTAATATAAAAGAAACAGAAAAGCATATAGGTCATTGAGTAAGTTGTTTTAGGATGTACGATATAAAAAAATATATTTATTTAAGATTAATGACACTCAAAAGTAGGACTAAGTAATTAACGAGAACAAGACAAGAATGACTCTTTGTTTTCTATTTTATGGAACAGACAATATAGAAATAGTCTAGTAGGATTCGTCACGCATATAACCCTACACATGTCTCTACGGTAATATAACGAGTGGCGACACAATCAACCATGATGCCTCCACAAACTAATAAAACCAAAGAACTCGTTTAGTAAGGTCACACTGGACATTTTTGATTAGTTTATTGTAGAGAACAAATTATATAAAAGCGAAAGATGCCACTATTATACATTTGTTACTATTGAAATTGAAATTTAATTTGAATTATATAAATCGAAACATTTTATTCATCATTTAAATTGTATATTAATATGTAAAAATTGTAATAGAATTCTGTTTTTAATACTTTGACTATTTATAAATATTTTTTAGATAGGTGTCTTTTTTAAATAGGTACATAAATCTATTGAAAAAATGATTAATGACATGCATTTATCTCCATTTTGAGTCAATATAAATCGATTATAACTGAAGAGAAAAGAACAAAAGGAGACAATAGGATTACTCGATTATATGACTTCGTTTTTTTATGTACTACCTGTAAGCACAATTACCAAATGTTTCTTTCAGTGAAAACTATTCTTTTGCTTTAGCATTCAGCTTCATTTTATCATCATAATGCATCGACAAAGTTTATTGACATTGTAGATACATATTTATCAAATACTTAATTCTTATAACATTTAACAATTCAAATTGAAATATTGTTTAAGGTTTTTACCAGTTTTTCGAATCTATTTTGTTATGATGACATGTATATATATATATATATATATTAATTTTACTAATCATTGCTAATCCACTTTTTCACTTAACTAGTTTCTTGCCTTCATATAAACAGTAAGTGTATTTAATAACGACAGAAAACTTTTTACTTGTCTTGTTTGACTTCGTACGAAACTATTTGATACCTGATTGAAAATATTTTTATAAGTGCATAATCTCTGGACATTGCTCTTCCGAATAGTATGATTGCATCGGAATATATAGAAAGGTTTCACGCATAAAAGTTACTTCGAAGTGGTAATAGCCGAAAACTACCCCAAATGAGTTTTCTGCTTATAAACAATGATTTTTTGAGTCTCATAAAAATACAGTTTATATTAATGGATCAACAAGGTTTTTACATCATAAAGGTAGTTCGATGAGATCTTTTCAATGGGGCTATTCTTAACATTGTGCACTGATATTATATTTGTGGATCGAATATAGTTTAGAGAATAGGCTCTGCTGAAGGTAACTTCTTGACAAGCGAATATCACACTGAAAACCGTTGCATCCAAAAGAGCTCATCGAATTATCCTTGCGGGTGTAAAAAAAAACTCGTTGATCCATTGATGTAAACTGTATTTTTGTGAGACTCAAAAAACCATCGTTGATAAGCACATAGCTCTTTCGGGGTAGTATTCGGCCATTATCGCTTCGAAGAAACTTTTATGCAAAATATAATCATTTTTTTCATGCAAAAATAAATTTTTTAGACTTCCAAAAGTGTCCTGGATGTCACTTATTATCCAGCTAATTTCAGAAAAGAATGTAATATTGGTGATCAGCACAGTGTGTTCTATCGATCGATGAATATCACCAATAGAACAAAGACAAAAAAATTTTCCCAAATACCTGGTCGGGTACCTCAGACAGAAGAAATGAGTTATGATAAACTATCAAATAGAGTTGTGGAAGATCTTCAGAGTTCATCAAGATTTCAAAGAGGAAATCGATTTCTAGTGCATGTTCAGTTGCAGACAAATTTTGGTGGATGTGTCGTTATTAGGAACACTGACTGTACTCAAGCTAATGCTAAATCATCCGTGATGGGGAGAGAAAAACAAAAACATTTTCAATAGTGTACAGAGCCATACATAGTTTCGCATGAAATGCACGTAACCTATTACTACTTAACGCAACTATACAAGGTTTTGTGACAAAGCTGCAAAGGCTTCAGGTAGTAAACGTAACCATTAATCGTTCCCTGTGAAATATATGAAATCTTAAAATAGATAAATAAGTGACGAACAGTTCTGTACAAATAATACAATACTTTCAGACGCTTTATCAAACTATGAATGGTTTCGTATGAAAAAGACGAAACTTTTATGCAGACTACGGAATTAAAAACAGTTCCATCGACATACTACGAAACTTCGTCATTTTACGAACCCACTAAAGGTTTATGATATGATGCATGAAACAACAAAACAATTTACAGTACCCATAAAGAGTTTATTTTGAAGAATACAAAACCCAGTGAAATCTGTTGATCTCAATAAAAATCTGTATGAAAAAACAATGAAACGATTTTCATTTTATTGAACTTAAAATAGTTCGGTGCAAAAATGCGAAACTTTGAAATAACAGTAATAACCCTTTTCTTTTTTATAATGCAGTATTATCAATATTTGTTGATATAGAAATGGTTTTTGTTTTAAATTTGAAAATCCATCTCAAAATAAATTTGAGATGAAATAACTGCCTTTTACTGACAACGCTATAAAACTGTAATATTTCTTTAAACAAGACTTCGAAAAAATTCATTTTAATGGTTTCTATTGTTCTTTACTACCTAACGAAAACAAGTGTATCTTGATTAAAAAGTTAGTTGTGTTTTGGGAGCAGATTAAATATCCAGTAGAAATGGTAATAATCCTTCTTTAAATATGATCAATTTACTGGCAAAAACACCAGTCTTTGTATCGAATGACAAAAACTCTAAAAAAAATCATCCAAAGCAACTAATCTGACTCTATCATATAACAACGAAAAAAACTAGAAGCACTCGAAAGCAATCATTATCAATTAAAAATTAAGGTTTTTCTTCTTTGTATAAATCATAATAATATGAAAAATCATGGAGTTCTTATTTTTAACGATAAATTGCAAAGAAAACAATTTAATACATCAATCGGTTTAAAGTATTAGAAGTTATAATGAAATTTTTTCCTTCATTTCAACGGATCTTCACAGTCAAAAGTTGAATATTGAATGACGGAATCAACGACAATAGCATAAGCAGTTATAGTAATCGTTGGAAAAGGCAAAGCTAGTAAAACTTTAAAATCACCATAGCGAAACATGAAAATGACGCATAGATCAATAAGTTGTACGATAATTATGCAACCGAATGCTATACACGATGTTGTTTTAATCGAACAATTGATAGGCATAACGAATAATAGAAGAAGATCGAAGAAAAAAAGTCACCTAATCCAATCATCGAAAAACATTCGTTCTCATTTTTTATATCATCGCTTAGTTCATTGATATCATATATGCAATAATAACCTAGAACAACCGTTAGATAATCAAATGCAAAAGTTTCCATCTATGCTTTGTCTATTGAATCACCCACATGCGATTTTAGATGCAAGCATAGGAAACTATATTCAAAAGCAAAAGAAATACAAAAGTCTAATTTGTACAAATCACAAGGAATGAACGGATGCATTTAAAAGATATCAAAATCAAGTCAATAATCTTTTTTTTCTCAAAGAAATCTATTAAATCAAACAATCAATTTGTTTATTCTAGAATAACATCAAGAAATGATTTGCACCAGTCGAAAATACATAATTCAATAACTTCAAATTAACTTTAAGTAGAATTAAGTATTAAATTGAAAAACTTTAACTTAATATTATATGTTAAGTAGTAAAACTTAACTTAATTTTAGTTTACATTAAATAATTCATTCCTAGTGTTGATAGAATTAAAATTGATTTGAAAGTAGTGCTTTTCATAGATACAGCCATATTATTTTGTGTAGTTCTCTATGTTTTTATTTACTATTTTATAGAAGCATTTGTAATTTTATCATCTTAATACACAATCGAGACTAGCGTGAGGAAATAAGAAAAATATCTAATGTGTATTGTGAAATTATGTCCACAAAACTATTTAATAAATTCAATAAATCTAGTTGGCCTTCTTGAAGCTTGTAGGTTAGGCCGCTAGCAAACTAATCTTTTTCTTGGCCTTAATTTGTTTCTCTTTCACGAGGAAACTCTCTCAACTGATAACATTCGTTCAAGCTCATATTTTGCTCATAGATAGAACATATAGCGTACATAAAAACTCTAGAAGGTTTGTGCAATGGCCACTCTATTTCAGAGAAACAAGGGTAATATGTTTTGATACTAATGGCATTGTCATATGTTTTCTATTAATTTTGTAGTTTTTATATCTTAATATAGGAGTAATTCCACAAGTTAGACTTTTTAAAACTCATCATTTATATACCTAGAGTGTGTAGAAATATTAGTCATCATGAGATTTTCTGATTTTTACATATTCAAAGCTCTCTATCTATCATAGTTCGCGTATAATCAAGATGAATTGTAGACAAGTATAAAAAACTATGATCTATTTTCTATTCAAGAAAGAATAAAATAAGTCGTGTAGAAAACGAAAATAAAACGAGTTGACGAACGTTATTGGTTTCTATTATGTATCAAGATACGATCACTTGTATCCTCTCTTATTTTGTGATTCATTTAATACTTTCAAAGATGACGTAGATGGGCTAAAGAAAAAACCAACTCTAGATAGGAGTATTCCTGTTCAAAAATGTACCAGATTAGTATCAGTGATAATAAAATAATTAATCAGAAAAGCTTCTCATTTCCATCAGTAGAATATTAGTTTTACTATAACTAATATTTCTACAGACCGTGGACGAATAGATGATAAGTTCTTTTAAAAAGT